AGAGCCTGGGCTTTCATGGACCACCCTTTGGGGTGGGAAGACAGGGCTGGAGCAGGATAAGAGGCCTGTTTTGAGACATTAAAGTAAAGCTTGGATCTCAGTAGAGAAGCTGGGGGCCAAAACGCTCCCAAGGGGGAGGCGGAGGAGATGCATGCTTTTTGGCCCTAAATAGAGTGGGAGAGAAAAACCTCTGAAAATTTCCAACCAGTAGGCCTCACTTGTGTAAATTTGGGGCCAAACTTCCTGAAATCATTGAGCTGCAGAAATCACAGAAGCAAATAGACGCCTTCTTAAAAAATAGACTATTAGACCAGGTGCAGTGGGTCCTGCCTGCAATCTGAGCACTTTGGGAGGCCAAGATCATGGCTAACGTGGTAAAACCCCGTCTCTATTAAAAGTACAAAAATGAGCAGGGCATGGTGGTCAGCGCCTGTGATCCCAGCTGTTGGGAGGCTGAGGCACCAGAATTGATTGAACCCTGGAGGTGGAGGTTGCAGTGAGCCAAGATCACACCACTGCACTCCAGACTGGGCAACAGAGCGAGACTGTCTCACAAACAACAACAAAAGAAATGCCAGTGTGTGTGAGGGAGTGAATTCCCACCCTGAGTTGTAGGTCCCACTGAGGCATCATCCTAGGCCCTTTTGCCTCCTGTATGCTACCTTCTAGATACTGTTTAGCTGTACAGGCCACTGTGTGCTGCTGCCTTGGACCAGGGAGAATCCCCCCAGCAGAAAGCCAGCTGGCACAGTGGCAGCCATCCCTCTGTTCCTGTAGCTGATGTACAGCTGCTAGTGCTGGTCCCAGATTCTGCTGGGTGTCTGTGCCCCCTGCAGAGGAGATGATGTCATCAGAAAGTGATGCCTGCCAAACAGCCACCTTGCTGCCTTCCCAGTCTTCCTGCTGTCCTCTCTTGCATCTGCTCTCTTCCCTGCTTGGAGAGGATTGCTATGGCCTGGCCTGCCAGGGGCCTCCATGCGAAGACTCAGAAATAAACAGGAAGTCATATTTCTGGAGCACCCATGGAAGCCTCTCGACATCCTCCGTACTATGACCATTTTTCGCTTGAGATAGAGGGGCTCAGGGAGGTGAGAAGGCTTGCTCAGAGTTACGGAAGGACTCTGAGCCCGTTTCTGACACTCTGTCTGCCCTTCCTGTTTCTGACTGCCTCAGAAAGCTGAGCCCATTATCTGTGTCAGTTCTTCTGTTTGTTTAAAGTCTTTGTAAGTACTTGGCTAAAAGACTTTTTCTTGGCCGGGCACGGTGGCTCATGCCTGTAATCCCAGCCCTTTGGGAGGCCAAGGCAAGCCAACCATTTAAGGTCAGAGGTTCGAGACCAGCCTGGCCAACGTGATGAAACCCCGTCTCTACTAAAAATTCAAAGAGATTATCCGGGTGTGGTGGCAGACACCTGTAATCCCAGCTACTGGGAGGCTGAGGCAGGAGAATCTCTTGAACCCAGAAAGTAGAGGTTGCAGTGAGCTGAGATCACGCCACTGTACTCCAGCCTGGGTGACCGAGCGAGAATCCATCTCAAAACAAAACAGAAAAGACCTTTTTCCTCACTGTATTAGTCTGTTCTCACATTGCTGTAAAGAAGTATCTGAGACTGCATAATTTATAAAGAAATGGGTTTGATTAGCTCACAGTTCTACAGGCTGTATAGGAAGCCTGGCAGCCTCTGCTTCTGGTTGCTGGATCACACCTGTAATCACAGCACTTTGGGAGGCCGAGGCAGGCAGATCATTTGAGGTCAGGAGCTCAAGATGAGCCTGGCCAACATGGTGAAACTCCATCTCTACTTAAAAAACACAAAAATTGTCCATGCCCGTAATCCCAGTGGTTCATGCCTGTAATCCCAGCACTTTGGAAGACGAAGGCAGGCAGTTCACCTGAGGTTAGGAGTTAGAGACCAGCCTGGTCTGGCCAGCATGGTGAAACCTCGTCTCTACTACACATAAAAAATTAGCCAGGTGTGGTGGTATGCACCTGTAGTCCCAGCTACTCGGGAGGCTGATGCAGGAGAATTGCTTGAACCCAGGAGGTAGAGGTTGCAGTGAGTCAAGATTGTGGTACAGCACTCCAGCCTGGGCAACAGCACAAGACCTTGTCTTAAAAAAAAAAAAAAAGGTAGCCAGGCATGGTGGCAGGCACCTGTAGTCCCAGCTACTGTGGAGGCTGATGTAGGAGAGTCACTTGGACCCAGGAGGCAGAGGTTGCAGTGAGCCAAGATCACGCCACTACACTCCAGCCTGCCTGAGCAACAGAGGAAGACTGCCTCAAGGGAAAAATAGAAACTGCTCCCATGATCTAGTCACCCGCCAGCATGCCCCACCTCCAGCTTTAGGGATTACATTTCAGCATGAGATTTGGGCAGGGACACAGACCTGAACCATATCACCCACCTTCCCCACCTTCATTCTCATTTTTTTTTGAGACAGTCTCTGTCACCCAGGCTGGAGTGCAGTGGCACAATCTCAGCTTACTGCAATCTCTGCCTCCTGTTCAAGTGATTCTCCTGCCTCAGCCTCCCGAATAGCTAGGACTACAGCTGTGCATCACCACGCCTGGCTCATTTTTATATTTTTAGTAGAGACTGGGTTGCACCATGTTGGCCAGGCTGGTCTTGAAGTGCTAACCTCAAACAATCTTACCACCTCAGCATCCCAAAGTGCTGGGAATACAGGCATGAGCCACCATGCCTGGGCATTTCTTCATATTTCAACATGATAAGTATCTACAACTACCTTTTTTTTTTTTTTTTTTTTTTTGAGACGGAGTCACTCTGTTGTCCAGGCTGGATTGCAGTGGCATGATCTTGGCTCCCTGCCAATTCTCCTGCCTCAGCCTGCTGAGTAGCTAGGATTACAGGCGTCCGCCACCACACCCAGCTAATTTTTTTATTTTTAGTATAGACGGTGTTTCACCATGTTGGTCAGGCTGGTCTCTAACTCCTGACTTCGTGATCCGCCCACCTCAGCCTCCCAAAATGCTGGGATTACACGCATGAACCACCACCCCTGGCCCCACAGCTATCTTATGATTGACCAAATTTGATGCACGCACCAGCTTTCTGTTGTGGGGTAGGTGAGGATTTACCCGTTTATCTTTCTATACCCCACACTGTTTAGATCAGAACTTCGCACACAGTATTTGCAACTCAGATGTTGAGAGAATGCATTTTTGCAGGCAGCTCTGAGCTTACAGTGGGACTGACCGAGTTCCCAGCCGCAACGAGCCGAAGGTCTGCTCATAAGGGTCGGAGCCCTGACTCCACTGTGGCTGCCTGCAGAGCCCCGCGCTTGGCCCTGAGCTCTGAGAGCTGATGCATTGCTGTGGTTTGCTTTCATTTTCAAGCCTGTTCTTCCAAAGTGTCAAGGCAGCCCCCGGCCCTGGAGCCTTGTGGAAGGTCATGATTCTTGACCTACTCAGGTTGGACGTGAGATGCCCAGGAAGGTCAGCTCCTAGTTTCAAGGGATGGAAGATACCAGGCGAGGCCTGCGGTGAAGCCCCCACACCTGACATCAGCACCCCTCCCCACACCTCCCAGCCTGGCTCATTCTCCTCACTTTGCTTTTGTGTAGAGTCCTGCTTCCTGTTTGCCCTCACGCGCCAGAAGCTGCCACCCTTTTGCCAGCAGGGGTACCTGAGGATGCGGGGACTCATGAGTACCGAAAGCCTTCGGCAGCACAGAGTGGAGAGCAGGCTCCCACGGAACCATGCCGCCACAGACAGCCGCCTGGAGGACAGCAGCCAGCAGCCTGGCGACCATGAGCCACCTGATGCCCCCATGGCTACAGGGCCTCTGGCCCAGTCCCTTGATAGCAACAAAGAGGAGCTCTGACTGTCCTTTCCTAAGCTGTGGGCACGGTTACTAAGCCTCCCCACCCAGGCCTATGGTCAGTCCCTCTTTTGCCAAAGACCGCTCAGATCATGGCAGTGACTGCACCAAAGCCACCCAGATGGCATGTGAGGGCTGAAAATCGGCGATGCGGTGGTCTCCTCCCTCCTGTCCGGAGACAGAACAAGGGTATCCTCTACCAGGTGTGAGTTGCCTTCCCTGGCCCACCCTGTCTGCAATGGAGCTGTCGGTAAGCCCCAGGCCAGCCTCAGTTCTGCCCCCTCTCAAGTGTTTCTCTTCCTTCCAGGCCCCTCCTCGGGTGGGCCTGCATCCTGCCTGTGGAGCGTTTCCCAGGTGAAACCCATCCACATCTTAAGGGTTTGTGGCATGCACTTTAAAACAAAAGCTCTGACACCAACAACCACCATAACGGGCAGGTGGGATTGTTGGCCCAGAAGACTGCTGAAGACACCAGCTGAGAGATGTCAAGTAATTCCCAGGATCCCCCCGCTGGGAGTCCCTGTCTGTGTCACTTGTCACACACTGCCTCAACCTCCTCTCATTTTCAGCAGGGTTTGGGCTTAGCTACAGAGCCCAGGAGGGTCAGCCCCGCTTATCATCATAGGCCCAGCAGGCTGATCTCGAGCAGCAATAGGACAGCTCCCTGCAAAGCCATCTTATCTCAACAGCTTTCTCCCAGAGCCGCAGGATTCTGAGCTGCTCTACCCAGTTGCACCCCCTGAGTCATGGTCCAGCTCACTCTTCTCTCCCATCCTGCTCCATTCCCTCCCCCTGCCCCCTGGCATCCTGAACCATGCCTTGCTTCTGACCTGCCTGGTCAAGTTTTGTGAAACTTACCCTGCTGTCTTTCTGCGGCGGGCACGCATACATGCTCAGCATGTGTGAGGAGACGTGTCCTAATGCCTTTGCGTGATAACGATGGTGAACTTAGCTCCTCGTCTTTTTCATTGTCCTTCCTCACCAGCAGTCTGCACTCCCGTCAGCTATCTGAATCTCAGTTATAACTGCATAAGATAATCACAATGATTTTTCAAAGCCCAGGAGACTAGGTGATTGCTTTTTCACTGGTTCTTACTGGCTCTTCATGTATCCACTCAGAATTCCAAGGACATAGAAAATTTAAAAATTAAAAATACATGCCATTGCAGTCCAGCCTGAGCAACAAGAACCAAACTCAGTCTCAAAAAAAAAAAAAAAAAATTTTTTTTTTTTTTTTTTAAGTAAGGTAGGCATTGGGCGCAGTGGCTCATGCCTGTAATCCCAGCACTTTGGGGGAGGCTGAGGTGGGCCAATCACCTGAGGTCAGGAATTTGAGATCAGCCCGACCAACAGAACAAAATCCTGTCTCTACTAAAAATACAAAAAATGAGCTGGGCGTGATGTTGTGTACCTGTAATCCCAGCTACTTGGGAGGCTGAGGAAGGAGAATTGTTTCAACCTGGGAGGCAGAGGTTTCAGTGAGCAGAGATTGAGCCGCTGGACTCCAGCCTGGGTGACAAAGCAAGACTCCATCTCAAAAAATATTGTAAAAAATATGCTACAACAAAAGTGAAAAAATGTAAAAAAGAATTCCAAGGACACAGGCTTTCTGGATCCAAAGCCCTTTCACAGGGACGTCTTCTTCCCCTCTTGGGTAGGCCCAGGCTTTTTTCTGTTTTCAGTCAGAGTTTCGCCCCCGGCTGGAGTGCAATGGGATGATCTCAGCTCACTGCCACCTCTGCCTCCCAGGTTCAAGCATATCTGCCTCCGCCTCCCAAGTAGTTGGGATTACAGGGGCCTGCCACCACGCCCAACTAATTTTTGTATTTTTACATAAAATGGGAGTTTCACCACATTGGCCAGGCTGATCTCGAACTCCTGACCTCAGGTGATCCACCTGTCTTGCCCTCCCAAAATGTTGGGATTACAGGCATGAACCACCACTCCTGGCCCAGTCCAGACTTCTTAACGACCTGGACCCACTGTCTACAGACACAGTTCCCTCCAGTCCTTCCCAGCCAGAGTTCCACTCCAATGGCCTTATTCTGTCAGGGAGGAATTGTTTACTGGGATAGTTTGCATGGGGTTGAAACTTCTAAATTTGGGGTTTCTCCCCAACCCAGGTGTTTGGATTACATACAGATTATGGGTAAGCAAACATTGGATCCTCTCTTGTTTAGATGGAGTCTCGTTTTATCACCCAGGCTGGAGTGCAGTGGCGCAGTCTCAGCTCATTGCAACCTCTCCTTCTCAGGTTCAGGCAATTCTCCTGTCTCAGCCTCCGGAGTAGCTGGGACTGTAGGCGCCTGCCAGCATGCCTGGCTAATTTTTGTATTTTTAGTAGAGATGGGGTTTCACCTTGTTGACCAGGTTGGTCTCAAACTTCTGACCTCAGGTGATGCACCTACTTCAGTCTCCCAAAGCGCTGGGATTACAGGTGTGAGCCACTGCACCCGGCCTTCAAAACATTTCTTTTTTAATTTCTTAATTAGGATGGTATTCATAATATCAAATACCATGACACCCATCTTGCCTACCCAGCTCCTGAAGGGTGGCTGAGCCATTTGTTCCCATAAGAATAGGAGGTGCTGCAGCAAATATGTGACACCTGCTGCTTTCTCAGTTTTTTTTTTTTATTTTAGAGACGGGGTTTCACTATGTTGGCCAGACTAGTCTTGAACTCCTGATCTTGGGATCCACCCTCCTCAGGCTCCCAACGTGCTGGAATTATAGGTGTGAGCCACTGTGCTTAGATTTTTTTTTTTTTGAGATGGAGTCTCACTTTCACCCAGGCTGGAGTGCAGTGGTGCGGTCTCAGCTCACTGCAGGCTCTGCCTTCTGAGTTCAAGTGATTCTCCTGCCTTAGCCTCCTGAGTAGCTGGGACTACAGGTACCTGCCATCACTCTCGGCTAATTTTTGTATTTTTAGTAGAGATGGGGTTTCACCATGTTGGCCAGGCTGGTTTTGAACTCCTGACCTCAAATGATCTGCCCGCCTCAGCCTCTGAAAGTGCTGGGGTAAGAGGCATGAGTCGCTGCGCCCAGCCCTGTGTTTGTTTTTTTAAAAAGCTGATTACCATCTACCAAATTAATTTTGTAAACCCACTGCTGTCTATATCCTGCAGTTTCAAAAACACTGCAATAAATATCGGTACGAGGTAGCAGAAGTTTTCCCCTTAGCCCAGGCTGCCAGTCCTGGCTTCCTTCCCTTTGCCTCACAGCTGTGCCCTGAGCCTGCCTTGTGACAGCCAGACCCAGGCCAGCCCAGCACCAGCTGAACAGAGGAGCCACCATGTAGCCGAGAGCCCCTGTGTAGTGCGCCAAGAGCTCAGGCTTCTGTATGTGTCTCAGGCTTTCCCTGCAGGAGTCATCAGGCAGCAACAATGTGGATTCCTTTTATTTATTTATTTTTTGAGATGGAGTCTCCCTCTGTCACCCAGGCTGGAGTGCAGTGGCGCAAACTTGGCTCACTGCAACCTCCATCTCCCAGGTTCAAGCAGTTCTCCTACCTCAGCCTCCCGAGTAGCTGGGACTACACACATGCACCACCACAACCCGCTTTTTTTTTTTTTGTATTTCTAATATAGACGGGGTTTTACCATGTTAGCCAGGATGGTCTCAATCTAACCTTGTGATCCGCCCACCTCGACCTCCCAATGTGCTGGGATTACAGGCATGAGCCACCGCGCCCAGCCCAATGACTTGAATTCTGTCCCTACTGCAACCCACAGCCCAACTATGAGAAAGGCAGTATTCTTCCCATTGCTCAGATGAGAAGCCTGAGGCTGATCAGGGTAAAGTGACTATGGAATAAGGACAAACAGGACTGATCCTCCTTTAGAAATCAGAATGTGGAGGCTATGTTCTCCCCCCATCTTCGTTCCCTGAGCGGCTTGACCAGAGCTGCTGCAACTGTAGCAAGAGGTGTCACTAGTTCCAGGCGTCTGCAGAAAGATTTGAAACGGAAGATGATGGCCTCTCCGAACCAGACTGCCTGTAATGCAGAGTCACCCGCAGCCCTGGAGGAGGCCAAGACCTCTGGTACCCCAGGGAGCCCCCAAACACCCTCTGAGCCTCATGACTCTGGTGGTTCCCTGCCCCTGACACCCCAGATGGAGAGCCACTCAGAGGATGAAGATCTTGCTGGGGCTGTTGGAGGCCTGGGCTGGAACAGTAGGAGTCACTGGACCCAGAGCTCAGGGGGCTGCTCAGCGGAGGCAGTACTGGCCCGGAAGAAACACCGTCGGCGGCCGTCAAAGCGCAGACGGCACTGGCGGCCCTACCTGGAGCTGAGCTGGGCTGAGAAACAACAGCGGGATGAGAGGCAGAGCCAGAGGGCGTCCCGAGTCCGAGAGCAGATGTTCGCCAAAGGCCAGCCCGTGGCCCCCTACAACACCACCCAGTTCCTGATGAATGACCGAGACCCAGAAGAGCCCAACTTGGATGTGCCCCCTGGGGTCTCCCACCCAGGTTCCAGTGGGGAGAGTGAGGCCGGGGACAGTGATGGGCGGGGCCGAGTGCACGGTGAGTTCCAGCAGAGGGACTTCTCTGAGGCTTATGAGCGCTTCCGCACTGAGAGCCTGCATGGCCGCAGCAAGCAGGAGCTGGTGCGAGACTACCTGGAGCTGGAGAAGCGGCTGTCGCAGGCCGAGGAGGAGACCAGGAGGCTGCAGCAGCTGCAGGCATGCACGGGCCAGCAGTCCTGCCGCCAGGTGGAGGAGCTGGCCGCTGAGGTTGAGAGGCTCCGGACCGAGAACCAGAGGCTTCGGCAGGAGAACCAGATGTGGAACCGAGAGGGCTGCCGCTGTGACGAAGAGCAGGGTACCTAGGGGTGCCCCTGAGCCTGGTGGACACAAGGAGAAGGTCTTATTTCATACACACTCAGGTCAGCTGGGTCTCAAGGAGGCAGGTGGCAGATGAAAACCACCCTCAACACCCTGTGCCCCCTGAGAACAGCTAAATCGATTCAGACTCCCGCTTCACCATTTTCACAGTTGGTTCTTCTGTGTCAGCTTACTTTTTACAGAGAAATTAAATGGTCTTGGTGGGACCAAAAAAAAAAAAAAAAAAAAAAGAAATCAGAATGTGAATTAAGCAGGGAAATTGACTCTAAAAAATGCTGTGGAAGTGCTGAATAGGATTGACAGCTGTGGAAAAGAAAGCGCTAGAGACCAAAAAAGCAGGGCAGGGCGAGCAGGTGTGGTGGCTCATGCCTATAATTCCAGCACTTTGGGGAGCCGAGGTTGGTGGATTGGGAAGCCAAGGCAGGTGGATCACTTAAGGTCAGGAGTGTGAGTCCAGCCTGGCCAATATGGTGAAATCCTGTCTGTACCAAAAATATAAAAAATTAGCCTGGTGTGGTGGCGTGGGCCTGTAATCCCAGGTACTCTGGAGGCTGAGGCAGGAGATGGCTTGAACTCAGGAGGTGGAGGTTGCAGTGAGCTGAGATCATGCCCCTGTACTCCAGCCTGGGTGACAGAGCAAGACTCCGTCTCAAAAAAAAAAAAAAAAAAATGGGCAGGGCGGGAGCAACCCTGCCAGATGCCATCTGGCACCATCAGGAACTGATGCACCGAGGGAGGCTGACCTCAGGAGGAGCTGCAGGACTGAGGGGTCCCACTATGGGCTCCAGTCTTAGACGAGGCAGAGGCTAAAGCAAGAGGTCAGACGAGTGGAGAGACCATGGCTGCCCATGCCTGCAATGGACAAGGGAATCTGCCGGGAAGCTCTGAGATCAGAGTTATCCGAGTTTGCAGGGACAGAGAGTGTGCGTGTCCTGGCCCAGCCAGCCTGTCTCATTCTTCTGTACCTGCCAGCAACACGGACACCCACACCCTCCAGCCCCCCTGAGATCCTAAGGGGAAAACTGACATGGTGGGTGGTGGGCAGGGCAAGTGGACCTGTTCCAAGGACTCCATCATGCCGTCCTGCACAGCACATGGACCTGCCAATCAGACAGAGGACAGATAACAGCATGATGTGGCCAAGATGAGCTGGAAGAAGCCATGGCAATGATTTTGGAATGGGGCCAGGTAATGTGCTGGGGAAAAAGTTTAGATTTGGGTCACTGCTCTCTGTTCATGGAATAATCACAGAGCACTTTCTATGATGCATCTAGCCCTGAGGTAAACAGTGGAGAAACAGATGGACCTTCGGGGCTGACGGTGTAGTGAGGGGTAAGGAATAAAGAAGCAGACAATAACAGTGTTGTCACCTGCAGGTTCTTTCTGCCAGCTGCACAAACAAAATCTATCCACTGAGGTGGGTGGATCGCTTAAAGTCAGAAGTTCGAGAACAGCGTAGCCAACGTGGTGAAACCCCATCTCTACCAAAAATATAAAAAATTAGTCAGGTGTGGTGGTGCTTGCCTGTAATCCCAGCTACTCGGGATTACAAAATCGATCTACTGAAATCCACTGAGGCGGGTGGATCACTTAAGGTCAGGAGTTCAAGACCAGCCTGGTCAACATGGTGAAACCCCCTCCTCATGGTGGTGCTCAGCTATTCGGGAGGCTGAAGCAGGAGAATTGCTTGAATCCAGGAGGTGGAGGTTGTGATGAGCCAAGATCATGCCTCTGTACTCCAGCCTAGGCAACAGAGCTAGACTCTGTGTCAAAAAGAAAAAAGAAAATGGGCAGAGTGGGAGCACCCTTCTGGGGTCTCTGTTATACCCCATTGTAGTAGAGAGAGTTTGGTTGCTGCAAGGCCAGCCCACATGGGAGAACTGGGATTATCACTCTAGTCAGTCTCCCTGAGGGGTTGGAGGTTGGGGTTTTTGTGGAGAGTTTGGAGGGCAAGGGGCTAGGGAATGGGCACTGCTGATTGGTCGAGTATGAAATCATAGGGATGCGGGAAATGGTCCTGGTCCTCCTGCACTGAGCTTGCCTCTGGGTAGGGCCACAGGATCAGTTGAGTCATGAGTCATAAGTCCAGGTGGGGTCAGTCTGAAGGATGACAACCCTCAGGAAGTGCTGAGAACATGTGCCCAAGGTGGTTGGCGTACAGCTTTGGTTTTAAACATTTTAGGAAGACATTGTAACTGCCCCATGGGTTCACCTTGCCTGCTGCCTAGACAGCCAATTTCTAAAGACAGGGGAATTGCAATCAAGTGTAATTCACACAGAGTTGGCTGTGCAGGAGACTGGAGTTTTCTTATTACTCAAATCGGACTCCCTGAGCGTTTGGGGATCAGAGTTTTTAAGGACAACTTAGTGCATTGGGGGAAGCCAGTGAGCCAGAAGTGCTAATTGGTCAGGTCAGAAATGAAATCATAGGGAGTGGAAGCTGTCGTCTTGTGCTGAGTCAGTTTCTGGGTTGGGGATACAAGATCAGATGAGCCGGTTTATGGATCCGGGTGGTTTCAGCTGATCCAGCAAGTACAGGGTCAGCAAAATATCTCAAGCACTGATTTTAGGGGCAGTTTAGGGAGGGTCAGAATCTTATAGCTTCCAGCTACATGACTCCTAAACCATAATTTCTAATCTTGTGGTTAATTTCTTAGTTCTACAAAGGCAATCTAGTCACCAGGCAAGAAGGAGGTTTGTTTTGGCAAAGAGCTGTTATCGTCTTTGTTTTTATTTGTTCTTGTTTTTTGTTTTGTTCTGTTTTTGTTTTGAGACAGAGTCTGGCTCTGTCTCCCAGGCTGGAGTGCAGTGCCACAATCTCGGCTCACTGCAGCCACCGCCTCCTGGGTTCAAGTGATTCTCCTGCCTCAGCCTCCTGAGTATTTGGGATTACAGGCACGCCACCACGCCAAGCTATTTGTTTGTGTGTATTTTTAGAAGACCTGGAGTTTCACCACATTGGCCAGGCTTGTCTCCAACTCCTGACCTCAGGTGATCCTCCCTCCTCAGCCTCCCAAAGTGCTGGGATTACAGATGTGAGCCACTGCGCCCAGCCTCGTCTTCATTTTAAACTATAAACTAAGTTCCTCCCAGAGTTAGTTCAGTCTATGCCCAAAAATGAACAAGGAACGCTTGGAGATTAGACGCAAGATGGCATCGGTTAGGTTAGATATCTTTTACTGTCTGAGTCATAATTGTGCATTGGTGGTTTCAACATGAGACTTCAATCAAATACGTTTAAGAAATACATTGATTTGGTCCGGAAAGGCAGGACAACCTGAAGTGAGGGCTTCCGGCTTGTAGGTAGAGAAAGCACTGCTGGAGTGCAGTGGCACGATCTCGGCTCACTGCAACCTCCGTCTCCTGGGTTCAAACGATTCTCCTGCCTCAGCCTCCTGGGTAGCTGGGATTACAGGCGCCTGCCACCATACCTGGCTAATTTTTGTATTTTTAGTAGAGACAGGGTTTTACCATGTTGGCTAGGCAGGTCTCGAACTCCTGACCTCAGGTGATCCTCCTGCCATGGCCTCCCAAAGTGCTGGGATTATAGGTGTGAGCCACTGCACCCAGCCTTGGTTGAGTTTATCTAAAGACCTGGGAATAACAGAAAGGAATGCCTGGGTTAAGATAAAGGATTGTGGAGACCCAAGATTTTATTTGCAGAGGAAGCCTTCAGGTAGTAGGCTTCAGAAAGGATAGGTTGTAAAATATTTCTTATCAGACTTAAAGTCTGTGTTGATATTGATGCCAGAGAGGTAGAACGAGGCGGGTCCAACCCTCACTTCCCATCATGGCCTGAAACAGTCTCTCAGGTTACCTTTTGGCTAAGGAGGAAGCCCATTCAGATGGTTAGGGGGCCTTAGAATTGTATTTTGGGTTTACAATAGAGTCAGCTATGTCAGATTTCTCTGTCTTTTTTTTTTTTTTTTTTTTTTTTTGAGATGGAGCCTCACTCTGTCGTCCAGGCTGAAGTGCAGTGGCTGAATCTCGGCTCACTGCAACGTCCACGTCCCAGGTTCATTATTCTATTTTTAGTAGAGACGAGGTTTTTCCAAGCTGGTCAGGCTGGTCTTGAACTCCTGACCACCCACCTAAACCTCCTTGTTATATGTAAATTTTCAGTGCCACAAAAGTAGCAGCACTCCAATATAAATTCTCTCAGCAAGACAATTTCTAGAAGGGTGCCTCTCACAGATGGAGCAACAGTGAGCACACACTTGGACAAGAGAGGGAAAGGGGTTCTTATTCCTAATGCAGGTAGCCCCTACTGCTGTGTTGTTCCCCTATTGGCTAGGGTTGGACTGCATCATCTAAATTAATTCCAACTGGCTACTTTAAAGAGAGCAGGGGTACAAGCCGGAGTGGCAGGGTTGGTAGTTTGGTGGGAAGGATGGTTACAGAACAAGTCAGAGCAGGTGACCAGGGGTAACAGATGTGAACTACTGATTAGAACTGGTGGGAAAGTTGTTTACTGAAACTAGAGGCAAGGGGGCACAGAGAACCAGGAAGTTAAACTTTAAAATGGAGAATTAAAGAATAAGAGAGCTGAACATACTGACATACTGATTCTTTGAAGAGAAAATTGGAGTTCACTATATCTAACATCCCAAAGTGCTGGGATTACAGGTGTGAGCCACTGCACCCAGCCTACTTCATCATTTTGCAAAGGCAGTTCCAATAATACAGAATATCGTCTGGTCAACGATGGATGCACAGAGAAGGCCAGGAAAGGGTCACCAGAGATGATATCTGTTTAAGTCTATCCTGGCCAGCATGGTGAAACCCCGTCTCTACTAAAATGCAAAAAATTAGCTGAGCGTATTGGTGCGTGCCTGTAGTCCCAGCTACTCAGGAGGCTGAAGCAGGGAAATCGCTTGAACTGGGAGGCAGAGGTTGCAGTGAGCCAAAATCAGGCCACTGCACTCCAGCCTGACGACAGAGCAAGAAGAATTTTTTTTTTCTTTCATATGCAAGGTTACCTGAATGAGAAAGAATTTATGTTAAGCTATTGATTGGTTGAAAATTGTTCTTTGTATTACAAATTCCAGGAACAGGTGAGGCTGCTAGTGAAAACTTAAAATAGGATGGGTGCAGTGTGGCTCAAGCCTGTAATCCCAGCACTTTGGGAGGCCAAAGGGGGCGGATCACTTGAGCTCAGGAGTTCGAGACCAGCCTGGCCGACATAGAGAAACTCCATCCTACCAAAAATACAAAATTAGCCGGTTGTGGTGGCACGTGCCTGTAATCCCAGCTACTTGGGAGGCTGAGGCAGGAGAATCGCCTGAACCCGGGAGTTGGAGGTTGCAGTGAGCCAACATCGCACCATTGCACTCCAGCTTGGGCGACTCAGCGAAACTCTGTCATTCATAAATAAATAAATAAAAATAAAATAAAGCAACAGGAATTGGCAAAATCCAAAACCAGGGGACCTCTCAACCGCCTTTCTCCCTTAAGTACCCTGCCTTGCTACCACCACTCCCAGCCTGGGCGACAGAGCGACACGCTGTCATTCATAAATAAATAAATAAAATAAAGCAAAATAAGTTGGCAAAATCCAAAACTACGGGGACCTCTCAACCGCCTTTTCTCCCTTAAGTATTTTCCCTTGCTACACACCCCGCCCCCGCTCCATCACCTCCTCTTCCGGTCCTTCCTCTAGGGCCCGCCCACCTTTTCCGGTTCCTCCCCCGCAACCCTCCATCTGCCCAGACCAGGGTCGGCCCGCTTCTTCCAATCCCTACCCCGACGGCCTCTTCATTGCTTCCGGTCCCTAACTGAGGCCCCGCCCCTTCGGCTGTGACTCCTCCCGCCATCCCTTTTGGCGGAAAATCGTAGACTCCCAAATTGGAGACCGATGCTTTTCCGCTTGTCTGCCCCCGGAAGTGACGCTAGGCCTGTCCTCTGAGGAAGTGACGACAGGAGTGCCCTTGACTGGGAGGGCTGGATTCTGCATCCCTCCGCTGGCGGTGCAGGGAGGTAGGAGTGCTGTGGGGGTGGCCCCAGGTGGTGTCGAGGCTGTGGCACGCTGCTAGCGCGTTCCTGCGCAGGTTGACGGCTGAGCGGGCGGAGGCCCCGGGTGGGTGGAGGCCCCGGGCGGAGGGACCTGGCTCGCCGGAGAGCGGGGGTCCCTGGTAGGTCCGTTTTTACCCATTTCCCTCCACACGTGTCCCTTTTTGATTGTTCCTTCCAGTACATGTCTCTTCGTTTTTGGTTCCTCTCACACTCAGTTCCTCCTTGAATTGTTACGTGTCATCTTTCCCAATCATTTTATCCTCCTAATCTCCCATTAAAACACGTTTTCAAAGAGCAATAGTTGGAGTGAGGACTTGGCGGACGACCCTAGGTTCCAATGCTGGCTGT